GAGTTTGAAAATATGAGTTTTCTGCATGAAACCTGAATACAAGAGTCTCTGAAAGCAAGTTGTGGCCATCATATGAGCAACACTACAAAATAATCTACAATGCCATGTCTCTCTTCTGTTCCCACCATCTACTAAATCAAAATGGAGAAATCCTAAGTTCTAACTGCATCAAAACTTTAATCATTCACTTGTTCAGTATGTAATAACATATTGAACAACAACCGAGAATCCCAGATCTGTATCATGCCCCACATTAACACAGCTTGAAGAAACGTTTAATAGTCATCAAACTGAACCATCTCAGTTGCACCTACCTCTACATTTTAAGAACTTCATTCTAAGATAAACATTTTAACTTATCTTTAAATAAAAAAGGGAGCTGATAAAAGCAACTGGCATATCAGGGGGCAAGAAAAAAAAAAATCAAGTCTGAAGTTTTGCCATATCTAAAAAAGGACATAGATAAGTAGTTTTCTTAAGTCCCTCTGTTTCTTTGCTATTACATGTCTTGCAGGAATTCCAATTTTGGGTTACAAACGAGGATTCTGAATTGCAGTTTTGCATTTTAAAAATTGCATTCTTAGATTTTTTTGTAAAAGCAATGGACCACACACAGCACAAATGTGGCTTCAAGTAAAACAATAGCGTAAACTTTCCAAGAACGCTGCTTCCTGCAAAGCTAGACATCTATTCCTTTGCGAAACAGGCTTTTCTTCTTTACAAAGTTAGAGATATGAAAATCTGAGAAAAAAATTACTGGACTGGGTGACTAGAAAAGATCACATGCATGAGTGCACCATTTATTCCCACTTTGTCTCTATGAAACTGGGCACGTTTGCTGGATGGATAAGGCAGCCTCAGAAAGAAATTAGAGAAGCTTAAGCTACAAATCAAACAAGAATGTTGCTATAACACACCCTCACAGAAAATGGAAAACCAAGGTCAGCAGCCCAGAAGTTAAACTGAGAAATTTAAAAAGGGCAAGTAAGACGGGTTTAATGTTCAGGGCTACTTAACCTTTGAGAAAGAAGTAGCAAAGGAAAATTATTTAAGACATTCACATGATTTTAAAAACATTGTGCTAGTTATCTATCAAATTGAGCTGAAGAGCTATGGGCTTTTGTTACACTGGTGGCCAGGTAGTGGACAAAAAAACATTTATTACCAGTAAGAGGGTAAAGACAGGAGGAGGGAGATGAGGAATTCCCTAGGTTAGATACTGTAAAATGCTTCACAGTTTTACTGAAAGGTTTTTTAGTTTTGCTTTGTAACTAGTAGGATTATTTTGGTCTCTTGCTGAAGTTGACCTCATGTTTTGCAACAAAGTTGGTAAACAACCACCAAAAATACTATGTAGTAATTGAACTTAAATCAAAAAGATGACAAAACTAACTAATTGGGGCCTTCTCCAAGTATGAGTTTGCAGGAGGAGTTTTATGACCTAAATCAATTAATTTATTTGAATCTTTGAAGAGCACAGCAGGGTTGAGGATCAGGCTGATTTCAGTTTTCTTCCTCCAGGATGTATTCATTTACTTGAGAAGGAACTTCTTCTCAGTGAGGGTGACGGAACACTGGAACAGGCTGCCCAGGGAGGTTGTGGAGTCTCCTTCCCTGGAGACATTCAAAGCCCGCCTGGACACATTCCTGTGTAACATTATCTAGGTGTTCCTGCTCCGGCAGGGGGATTGGACTAGATGATCTTTTGAGGTCCCTTCCAATCTCTAGCATACTGTGATACTGTGATACTGTGATACTTTGAAAAATGAAAAATGGAAAGGTAAACCATGCTACTAATTCACAAAATTTGTCAGAACATAATCAGAAAATATGTTGAGATACTGTTCAAAATTACTAAATACTTCATGGCGCAAGTGAACAATTTTCATGCTGTGGACAGCTTTTAGTTCATGCATGTTTACTTCCAAAGACACACAAAAAAAATTTCCCATGGCTTCAGCACTTCCTCATTTGATCTGCAGATAACATCCATCTTCTGTGTAGGTGTTATCTACACACAGATATTAAGGGCTGTCTTAAGCAAGCATTTTTGTCAATACGGACTTCTCTTAACTATTCAAAATTCCTTTAAATGTAAAAGATACCAGCAACCCTGAAACTCTGCCAGGTCAAGCATCTGCAACTACTGAACACAGACTACTTTCAATACCAAGCCCCTAAGCTGTTTCCTGAAACAGGAAGCATTTGTCTACCTAGAGACTTTATATTTATTTTATTACAAAAATGCTTACCAAAAAAGAAAATCCCACCCTTCCATACTATGGGCAACTAAATGTTTTTTTTTTTTTCTTTCACTGGCTTAATGCCATGACAGCAATAGCTAAAAAAAAAATAAAAAATAAATTAATAAATTGTAAACTCAGCGCAGGATTTTAATTCTTAGTGTAAATAATTCAGAGAATCACTATGAACATACTTTTTTCCAGATGTTTGCTATTACACCTAGAAAAAAAAAAAAAATCAAACCCAAAAAGCAGCAAAACGGCTGCTTTTTTCCTTGGAGACACTACCACAAGCACAAAACAAGACTTGCAGAATTTCCATTGTAACCTTATTATAGTGCACTGCAAAAAATCTTCAGAATTTTTTGTTTAAATTGTAATTACCATCTCATAAAATAGCAAAACATTCTACAGCCAAGGAACAGTTCAATTTGTCTCTCAGTTTACTGAGAATTAAAACCAAGAATCCCCTGGGGTACTACAATTTTGAATGTAAGTATAATTTGTGTGCAATTGCAACAAATGCACATTACTTAAAAGAAGGGAAATACTAGCATACCGGTCTATTTTAAAGAAATTAAACCCATAGTTTAGACATTATGAGTCTGATTGAAGCCATAATTTGCTCACCTAAGTAGCATTTGAAGGTCATATTATTTTACCTGCTTCGTATGTTCTTTACATTTAACTCTGTACATAGCAGGAATCAGGAATTTCTAGCTGGCAAACCTACCTAGGCATATTAAAAAAAAAAAAAAAAAAAAAATTTAACCAGTCCTAACTGCTGAAGGAAGCCTGCCTGAGCACCTTATGACTTCCGGCATTCAATACCATTCCAGACAAAAACCATAAAGCTAAATAATATATCTGCACAAGCTGACTCTAAACAACCATCTTACTGGGCTTGTCTTCAGTGAGAGAAGAATCAAAGTGGTAAAAGTCCAGCTCTAATTTAAGTTCTGCTCACGCATTCCTTACAGACTCTTTGTATGATGGGGAAGATAGCTTTTAACTCAAAAGTACTTCTCTATAAAGGAGTGTAGGCAGATGTTTCAGCTAGCAAAAGATAGTATCAAATTCACAGGGCTGGCACCCATCAGCAATATGGGAGTACCATTAGAAATGCTTTTCCTAAAATTATTCCACCCAAAGTCTTAGTGTTTTTCATCTTCCATTGTTTCGTCTATTTCCATATTCTGCAAGTATTCCATAGCTTGCTTAAATGAAATTTAATTTTGGCAAGTCTTTCCTGCTCCCCCTCTCCCATCACATTTAAAAAAGGAATGCCTAGCTACATGTACAACCTACACCATAAAGCATTGGTTTAAACTGAACATATTTCAGAATCTGAAAGTAGATTATGCTTCCTCAGTCTAAAATTTATAGTCCAGTAAAGAAACAAAACTCACAGTAGTTCAGTACTTTGAGCATATCAAATAACTAGAAAAGTAATTTTGATTTTTCCAGTTCTCATTACCTTAAGCTAAAGTTAAATGTATAAATCTTTACCTCTGCATCACAGCTTACGTATGTTTTTAAAGAGGTTCACAAATAGAAAAATATCAGATTATGAACTATTTCCTATCAGAAGATTCCCCATGTAAACTAGGGCCCTGATTTTGTAAGCCTTTTCATATACCTTGCCAGAACTAGGTGCTAAAATGCAAATTTGAGAATACAGTCAATTACAAGATACACCATACCTTGCTAGCCTCCAAGACAATCTCCAAAGGTAACAGCATTCAGAAAGACAATCAAAATCGGTGCACTGAGCTTCAGAGTTTGTCTTGCATCTACTATGATATTAGGAAGGAAGTGGTTAATTTAAAGGGTCTAGTTTGTGAAAGATTGTTTCAAGTGTTTTACAGGAGTATTTAAGTGATTAGACTCATAACACCACAAAACCCCCTACAGATTTTGTTGATCCCATTCCTTTGCCACATCTTAGGAAGAATGGTGAATTCCCAAGAAGATCAAGCACAGCTCTCCTGGGTCTTGCATGAAGTTTATATTTGTTCTGCAATACTTTTTTCAAGCACTTGAATAGAAATAGACGGTCTGACATATTTTCTTCCTCTTAGTTTATTATCTTTTCATACACATTCCAAAACACTAAGCTGCCAATCTGCCTCAACATACAGAATGAGCAACTTTGGGGAGTCAAATCAGTTTCTTGTACTGCTGGAGGTCCAAGGTGTAGCTTGCAAAAACAGCCAGCTCTAATGCACAGTATGCCAATAATCATTACCACAGAACCAATAATCATTACGCATTAGTGTGCTGAGCAGAGCTATGTACTGTACAAAATACCATCAAAAACTTAAAATTACATGTCATTACACATCTGCACACCATATTTAGGGAGGGAGAGCCTTTAATGCCATTTCAACATGACTTGGAAATGAAGTCACTGTTATCAATCCTCTTCAGAGCTAGATTCATCTTCCTGGTCAGAGAGCTCAGCAACAGGAAAGCGCAGAATGGCTGCCACCCCTGTCAGCTGGCCAAGCTGCTCTCCAGACACATGAAGGCTGGAGAAAATGCGTACTGTGCCCATGTTTTCCCGTACGCTGTCAACCAACTTAACATATCGAGCACGTGTAGCCACATCCTGGTGCCGAAAAAGCTCATCACTGATCAACAAGGTATCGACGGCCATAGCTTCATTGGCCTTCTCCACTTGTTTTAGACCATAAAAAGCCCGGTCAGGCTCATGCTGCAGCATTTTATAGAAGTCATCTAAGGCTTTGACCTCACCAGCTGCCTTAGTGTCAGACAGACGGCTAGTTACAGCTGGGTCGCAGAGGGCTTCCTTCAGTGCATATTTGTGTCCTGAAGAAGAATGGACCTAAGGTAAAAAAAAGTCAAAGGTTTGGTTGACTGGTTTTATTTGGTTTGGTTTTTTTTTTTTAATATAAAGGACATTTTTATTAGCCAATCATAAACAACTTCCACTATACCTCTTTCTTGAAACCTACCTGATTCTTTTCTTAAAGGATCTTTCCTGCAACCCAAAACATGTGTCTAATCCCTTAAAATACATTTTAAGAAGTGCAGGGAAGCTGCTCCTCTTATTCAAAGCCTGGGTTAAATATGCAAGCTACTGCAGACAGTCCCCAAGCTACTTGAAACTACTATGAATTAAGATTTACGGACCTTCTTTTTAAAGCATTCAAGAAGCAGAAGACCTCTTAACACTACTGACATAAGTACAAAAGCATCAAGTTTTGAAAAACTGCATAGCTACTATGCTTGCTAAGCTGTGAAGTACATTAAAACTTTTCACACTTACTATTATCACTTTGCTATAAATGCAAAAGGAGGCTTCTTGGTGCAATGTGTCTTCTACATAACTGTGACCATTGGGCACTGGGACACAGCTCACTCCACCCTCCCCTGCCAACCTTTCGCAAGTGTAAATTACAAGCCAACTCAAAAAACTATTCTAGTATCCTTATTTTAGGCTCCAAGTTTGCCTATTCCAATGACAGGCAAAAAACCCCACTCAACCAATGATATGACTAAGGAAGAGGAAGAAATGCTATGGTCTGCAGAATATTTAACCATGCAGTACAAAAATAACAACAGAACTACTAAACTATACCACAACTGTGTAAGTGGTAAAAAAAAGGTTTTTTAAAGAAAAAAGTTTTTAAAAAAGCTGTCATTTTGCTTTGTCAAAAAGCAAAAAATATGTATGATATACAGTATATCAGTTTAACACTACAGTTAAACTGTTTCCCAACTTTTATTTCACTCTTAGTTGAAAATTAAATATGCCTTTATACAGTGCATGAAATATTTAATACTTTCTCTACTTCATATTAAGATATCCTAAGGTATCCTAGAACCATCCCTGTATCTTGCATAACTACCTTATAGTTTGGGAGGCATGAGAATAATTTCAATAATTTTCTTATGATGCTCAGACATGAATTTATTTTCTTATTTCCCATCACCCTTGTAATGATCTTCTATTACCAAAGGCAGCTCTTAAGCCTCTTTCTACCCACTCTGAAGACTGTTTAGCTCCTTACCTGTAAGAACTTGGATCTGTTCTCCAGCAGAAGCTTGTTGTCAGTCTTGACTGCCTGCTGGAACATGTAGTCACAAAACTGCTCCCGCACGAAGCCTGGGCTAGCCACCAGTACACACTTCACCACCTCAAAGTTGATATGCCGCTGGATGGCTTGCATCACCTGCTCGTAAAACCTCTCCAGGGCTCGGTCGTGCTGACTGCAGTTCCCTTTCCGCTTGCGAGGGATGTTCACCTCCACCTTGGCACGGGCAAGCGTCATGCTTGGAGTGACCAGGCAGACGTTAGCCAACCCCTCCTGCATGACCACAGCTGCCACATCAGCGCTCCACGCTGGGTCGCAGGCCTGCTCGATGCGCTCCAGCACCACACTGTCCCACTGCTTCTTTGCCAAAGTGAACTGCCGGTTGGGCTCCAGCTCGATGGTGTGGTAGGCCCCCATCTTGACATACTCATTCTCTTGGATGTTAGTGCCCTTGACCCGCAGCTGGCAAGCCTGCGAGTCAAAGTCGATGGCCTCCACACAGAGGGTAAGGGTGGTGCGGATGCGGTTGCTGCCCACGCTGCCCGTGGATGACTCGGTCTGCACTTTCCGAATGGTGGAGGCCCGCAGGCTGTCACCCACCTGCAGCAGATTGTAGGTGTGCCACATGTCCTCGGGCTCCTCGGGGATCAGCGTCACCTGCCCCGCATTGTCCTTTTCCAGGTCCTTCCTCACCAGCTTCATCCTGGCGGTTCCTTGCGCCGACAGGTCCCCACAACTTTCCCTCAGCGGCAGCGGCCAGCGGTCCTGTCCCGGGAGGCCTGACGGCGGGACCCGGCGGAAGCCGCACACTCCCGCTAGCTGGCTGGCTAGCGGGCTGGCTGGCGGGCGATCTCCCTCAACCCGTGAGGTACACCGGCCTGCCACACAAACACGGCAAAGCCTAGGCCGAGCCTGAAGTGCGGCGGCCCCTCAGAACACGAACAGCCGGGCCCCCGGCGAGCGTGCGCAGCACTCCGCCGTCCCACGGCGCATGCGCACAGTTAGTCCTCATCGGCTCCGGCGGTCCGCGTACTGGCCCAGCCGCTTGCCATTTGCGCTGGCACGCATGCGCACGGGTGTTTCCCGCGTGCCTGTGAGTAGGAGTGGTGTCTGAGGCGCGTGTGGGGTGCTGAAGTGGGGGATGCCGCAAGTCGGGGGTCTCGCAGGCTCGGAGAGCTCCGCGAGAAACTTTGTGCGGCCGGGACTAGAAGCCGTCCGGATGCTCCCGTGTGTTGTGGGCGGGCTGTGCCTTGGTGTGGCCTCTCTTGAAGGCGGCGGGGGTAGGGGGTGTGTCGGAGCCTGCAGTGGTCCGTCCGCGATTCAGACTTACAGAGGTTCCTTACACGTCCCCTCACGTTGGAGAAGAGAGGAACATCCCCAAAACTAAGTAGTTGTGGAAGGTGATGGTTACAGACCGGGAACGACGGGACGGGTAAAAGGGCGCGGCAGTGCAGCCGCGGTGCCTCAGAGCCCGGCAGGGCCGGGTGGTACCGGACAGCGGCTGGTGCGTTCCAGCGAGGAGAGCAAAGCCACCGCCTGAGCTATTACTTTGACATTACTTTTGAACTGAACTTCGGCTTAAAGGTTTCCGGTTAAACTTCCGAGTTACACTTTAGCCTGTACTGAAACTTCACCTGCTTCCTGTGTCTACTGGTTACTTAGAATAAGACAGTTTGAGAAGCTTCAGGAGTAGATAGGCACATTTCAAACAAAGTTTGGTGATGACAGATGTAAGTAGCATGCCTTGAAAAACCACACAGATTAGTTCAGTGGTACTTGCATGAAAAAGAGATGTGACCAGTAACTACGCAGCTCAATTTACAGCCTGAACAAATTTAACAACCTAGGAATAATAATAAATGTAACATCATTGTGCAAGTAGTGCAGCTTATTTTGAAGCTGTGTATGACACTGAAAGCACCATTTCAGAATGAATGTTGTAAATTCAGGAAAAATAGGAAGATAATGGAGAATGGAAGAAAAAATAAAGAATGATTCAAAACAACAAAATAAATTGAGAAAGTAGGCAAACTAACATGCCGTGATGACTGACTGTATCAAGGCAACCAGAACAGATACAGTAAGCTTGGAATGTCTACACACTTAGTATGATAACCGAAAAGCAAGAGGACATCCTCTCAGAGATGAGAAAGTGGCAAATTTAGAATTGTTAAAAGGAAGTTTCTGATTTCTTCTAGTTATTTCTGTTTTTTTTTTTTTTCTGAAAAATGAACCACCACCCTGAAAGAAACCCCAACAAAAAAAAAAAACCACAGTCAAAAATCAAAACCCACAAATAAAACCCACCTCACTGTAGATTATAGAAATTGCTGAATTGGAAAACCTTCAGATTCAAGGATTTAATGAGATACAAGGCTACTGTGAGCAAAAATCTTCTATCTCCCATTATAGCATACATAAATTTTCTCTCAAGAATGTAGCACTGGTCAATTGTGACAGGACATTGAACTCAGATCTGGCCCTGTAATGTGTGTTCCTTGTTTCTAAGCTTGATACTGATGTAAAAACAATTTTATCAGATATTACATAATAGGATTACATATCAGACCTCAGACTTTCTTCCTGTGAGTACACATGCTTAACTCTGTTAGCATGAATAGTTTCACAGACGGAAGCTGGGCCACCCAAGGGGATATAACATAAGCACATGTATAAATAACTGTTTGTTTAATTTGGGCTTGTACATACTTATAATTTTGAATTAGTACTGTGTGGCTTAGGCAGAGAGCATGCATTCAGCTTTTTGTTAAGACTTCCTTTCACTTATCTATGTAAATGTTGCATGGTGAATTTACAGTGAATTTTCTTATTTGCAAATATAATATTACAAGGGTTGACATCATGCTATTCTTTCAAGAAAAATTAGCTGTAGTGCATATTTACCTTCCATCTTATCCCCCCCCCCCCCCCCCCCCAGTTTGCTGCTATGTATTTACAAACTATTCTCTGCTTGTTGGTTCCAGTCAAATTTTTACAAGCAACCTCACAACCCTGAAGAAGCCAGATGTTTACGATAAAGGTTGCCAGTTGGCATCCAGTACCATCCAGTAGGAAATAAACATTCAGTTCATAAAAGCAGCTGACTTGCTGCATTACAAGAAACCCACCCACTCCCCCAACCATTAAAAAAAAAAAAAAACCAAGAAGAAAGAGCCACCACCTTGCAACAAAGTTGCCTCTCAACATAATAAATTGACAGAAGGGGACATATTTTGAGATGGCTTTCTGGGCTTTCCTTCTCCAACAAATCACCATAAGATTTCATCCAGTTATGAACAGTGATCTGTAAGTATTTAGTGGCAAATGTGAACTTCAATGATGTATCCACAGTTAGCAAGACCATTGTCAACTTACAAAGGAAAGCATTTACTAGTGATGGTACTTCACCTTCTCTGGTAAAAAGTAAGTAGTGGATATTGTACTTTCTCGATTATGTCAAAGAATGAGCAGTATATGAAAAAGAACATTTCAAGAACCATGTAACTGTTTGTAAATTTATACTAATTTTGCTAATGTCAGGAAGAGAGATGAATTTGACCCCAGTAGAGCCAAAACAAGTGGGTACTTTTAACTCTACATATAGTTTTAATGTCTTCGTAAAAGTTTAAGACTAAGTGCCATAGTCTTAAATGTGTAATATCTTGCCATATATCACTTTTTAAAAACAGTGTTATAGGTGTAATTATTGCAGCAATTTGGCATTCATTTTCTGACCTTCTTAAGCACAGCAGAAGACAAAAATGGTGATAGCATACATTCACAGGGATTTTGGAGCCATGCTGGTTTTGTGAGATTATTTTGAAAACATGTGAGACAGACTGCCATATATCTCCCAGTCTTAGTCAGCTGCTTTATGAAGATGGGTTGTGTAAGATTTTAAACAAGGAGAGGTCATGTTCATAGGAAGCCCTTTCTCCCCTGCATTGTAACCAATTTAGGTAGAATCATGCAAACAACACTGAAGTCCTAGATAAGAAAGACTAGTGGGAAAGAGCCTCAAATATAGGTGGAAATTTGCTTAGAAATGTTGGGCATAATGTTGCAGGAGCAAAAGAAGAGATAAAGATGGGGAGAGAAACTGGTGAAAATGTGGTTTTCCCCTTTATCACTTTATGTGTCTGTTCTACCTTTGCAGACTCTGGACAGAGACCACTTCATTTTCTGCATACAGTTCTGTTTCTGTGATTACTGGTCTTTTCTATTATAAAGACAAGTACTCTTTAATCAGTACCAACAATGTGAAGAAAAAATCCCAGGAGCAGACAGGCTATGTGTAAAACTAAAAGTAAAACTAATGGAACCCTTTGGACTGGTTTCTTCCTTCTTTTTCTGTTGAAACAGAGGGCTGGATCTGTAGTCAAACCACTTACACTGAGGCAAGGTGAAGTAAATCTGAACCATCCCTCATAGGTGTTTATCCAACTTCATCAAAACTTTTAGTGAAGGAGATTATGCAGGGATGGGGTTTTTTTGGTAGCCTGTTCTAGCAGTTCACTACCTGAAGAGTAATAAAGTTCTTCTAAATATTAGCCAAGTGTTTTGTTTTTGTTTTGTTTTTTTTTTGTTGTTGTTGTTGGTTTTTTTTTCCTCCCACAGTGTGTTGCATTGATTTTCTCTTGTCCTTTGTTGGACATGGAGAGCCAACTATTCATCAGTCTCTTGATAAATTAATATATGCGATAGAGAAAGTCACAATCAAGTGCTTTCACAAAACAAAGATAGAAAACATTGACATTGGAAGAATATTCTCATTAATAATACTGTGTTAAAAATACGCATTTTAAATTATCAACATTTTGCCCTTTTTTCTCTTGTAGATAAAGAAGCCTAACTCATTCAGTCTTTCTTCATACATCATTTTTATCAGCCCTTATCAGGCTTGTCACTTCTCTGTGCACATCTGCCTGTTTGTCTGCATCTGTCAAACTTCCTGTACTGAGGATTCTCAGAGTTCTCACCAAGTTGAATTAAAAAAATACGCAACTCTGTAAATACACAAACATACACCTCTATGCACCTCCTTTATTCTAGGTTGTTTTTGTCTGGTAGTACATGGCAGATTATTTGCCTTTTTTTTTTTTTTTCTTTTTGAGAGAGAGGAGCATATAATTCACATTTATTTATTTTTCCATAGTAATTCTAAAACTCATTCTCCTTATTTTTATGACATTTTGACTTGTTTATGCAGGACTATTTCTCTTATTTATCTGAGACAATTTGAATCCTATTCCTGGTGTCTGTAATGCCACCTCATACTTCTTAGTGTATTATATTTCACAACTTTTTAAAAAAGAAAAAAACAAGTATACAAACAAAAAAAACCCAACAAAAACTAGTAAGCTCCTGACAGATCTGAATGGAACCCACCCTTTAGATGTTTTTCTATCCAACCTTTTTGTCATTGATGAAGTTATCTGTCAGCAGTACCAGTGGCAACTTTGCAGCTCTGAGGGGAAGCTGTGGTGCACCAAGTTGTTGCCACTTTACAAAGCCTCCTTTTATGAAGGAACAGAAACAAAAGTATATTTTGGAGACTATCACAGTGAAGAGTAATAAAGTAATCTGTGAAAAATGACCTAAATGTGGCACACCAAGTACTACATTCAGATTTTCACATTTTCCTGTATCTGTTCTTTCTTGCACAATAAGCACAGAGTGAAGAGAGAAAAAGCCTTTTCCCCACTTGCTGTCGCCCGCATTTTGATGATTCTTATGAAATTGTTTTCTTCCTCAGTACTGCCTTAGGTCCTAGTTGCCAGCACAAGAGCTGCTGGAGAGCCCTGTGTCCAAGTTTGCAAGCACATGAATCCCAGCATTACATTAGCCTCT